TTTAAGATATTTATAAATCGTTTGTACATAGTATTTATTTTCTATATTCAATTTTGTTTATCAATTTAAAGCAATGCCAAGAAATTATAGTAGTTTTATATCTTGCAGAATGTTTCCAGAAACATTTGAAGTAGTGTTACAATTAATTGGACCAGGACTAAGAGTCATAAATACATTGCCTGGAAGAAAACCTATTTCTGCCGAAAAGCAACTTCTTATTGCAATTTGGTTCATGTCTACTCCTGATTCTTATAGGTATGATCTCATACATTAAAATATTATATTAATATAAATTTAAAGAAAGAAAACAAAAAATTATTAGTAAATTAATAATTAATAGTAAGTTAAATTAAAATCACTGTTTAATGTTTAAACATACATGATAGAAGATAGAAAAATTATTAATTATTTCATAATAATATTTTATTTATATTATTGTCTTCAGGTCTGTATCGACGAAATTTGGAATTGGAAAAGCAACTGCATTCAGAGCATTAAGACGAGTAACATGCTCTACATTGTATTGCTCCTCAGTTTATTCAGTGGCCCAAAGATGCAGTTGCCACAAAAAATAATAAGGAAATTTGAACAAGTTTGTGATTTTCCAAACGTGATAGGTATTATTGATGGAACTCATATTAAAATTCGTGCTCCAAAAGAAGATCCAGACTCGTACATAAATAGAAAAGATTTTCGTTCAATTAATGTACAAGTTGTCTGTGAGTCGCGTGGACTATTCACACATTGTTATGCTGGGCATGTAAGATCTGTGCATGATGCAAGAGTTTTTCGGAACTCATCAGTGGCAGATTTTCTTCAATTACCTCAAATATATTTTCCTAATAATTCTTATATTATTGGAGATGCTGCATATGATATCCATCCACATGTTATGGTATCTTTTAGAGATAATGGTCTGACAAATGCGCAAAAAAATTTTAACTATTGTTTGTCATCTACGAGAATGGCAATTGAACGGGCAATAGGTCATCTGAAAGTTCGTTTTAGGATTCTCTTAGACTGTTTACCTTTAACAGATGTTAGAAAAATTCCAGAATTTATTTTGGCTTGTTATGTATTACATAACATTTGTATTTTGCAAAACGATATAATTGAACTGATGAGTATATATAGAAATGAAGACGAAGTAATACCTGTTTTACATGATAATGCAGTTGAATTAGGAAATGCTAAAAGAAATGTAATTATGAATGCTTTACCAAGGAAAATATAACATTAAAATATATGTAATACTGAACATGTGTGTATATAAAAATAAAAATATATTTAAGTAATAATTAAGTAAAAAACAAATAAACAAATAAACGTTTGTTTTTGTTCAGTTATTTTATTCTGAATCCATATATCTTTGGCCATTTTAAAATTATAATTCGCGTATTGAAGTTATTACTATATAAGTATAAAATTATAAATGAACGCCAAGTTTTAACTTAGTAATTAAAACATAAAACTTAAATTCATTTTCAAAATACTCGTAATATAAAATTAAAAATAATATAAAAACAAAATAACATAAGCTAAATATTATTTTAATGTAAATATTTAAAATATTAAATACATATAGGATGATATCGTTGATTTCAAAAATATTTTCTTCGTAAAGGAGTATAACTAAAAATATTATAGTTTTTACTAATTAATTAATATCACTTCTTACATTAATATCATTTGTACGTATTGTCGATAGATCACAGACTTGTTACAAACTAGCTATCACATAGAAAATAGAATGTAGGGCATACCACCGAAACAATGCCATTACGGAAATTATAGGACTATTTCTTTTTGCTATAGATAAATATAGAGGTATCAAAATTATTTTTGCTTTTCAATTAAAAGTTTCATAATTTCAATCAATGATTTTTGTATCTCCATTTTCTCTTCATGAATTTTCCTTTGTTCTTCTTTACGCTCGATATATCGCTGTGCTTTTAATTTCTCATATTCTTTCCTCTCTTCTTCTCTTTTGGCTATTGCTATGTTCCTATCTTGTCTTATATCATCAATGAAATTCTTCAGCACAGTCTCAACTCTTCGCTTTTTGCTTGGATCTAAAATAGAAATTAATTATTAAAGCATGCAGACAAAGACAAAGAATGTATAAAGAATTGAAATCTTATTGATTTATTATTACTAGATGGCAATGAAGGTGATTCTGTCACATTTGTTGGCTTAACTGGACCTTCGCTTGATGCAATCGCAGGTGGCATCACAAAAGCCTTTTTCCCAAAAATTGAGTCCATCACCTTCAAAATTATAATTATGTAAAAGCATTTATTTAGATTATATAAATCAATTATGTAAAAAATTATTTACAAAATTCAAATAGATTACATATAAAATTAACAGTATCAAATTTGTATTTCATTTTCTAATACATTATTTACAGAAATAAGAAATCAATTTACCAAATAAAAGGCCCATGTATTCCGACAATTTCCACTCTTTTTATTTTGATCGCTTATGTTTTTAAATGTTCTTTTAAGACCAGACATCTTTACAGAGCATTGCAACTCAGTTACAGCATATTTTCCGTTGAAATTTTCTTTCATTTTTTCTACTAATTCAGCCCAAATAGTAGCATTTCTTTTAGATCCCGAATTGAAGTCGGATTCTTTCTCCCAATACAATTCTAATAGTAAATATACTGCAGCATCAGATCATACAAATCCTTTTGTATTCGTCAAACAATCATTTTCTTCGGAATCAACATTTTCAGACAATGCTGATGAAGGCTGACTAATTTCTAAAGAACTTGAGAAGTCAGTAGAATTATTCTGCTTACTGATTTCTCTGTTTACAAGCGATTGCAGCAACTTTTGATCTGTAACAACAGTATTCCTAATATAATTTATATTTACAGCCAATAATTGAATAAATAGAAAAATATAATCCCTTTAAAAATACTTTTGAAAGTAGTGGAAATATTAATTCAAAAACCGAAAACTAACCCAATTGAGTATTTTCACTACTGTCAAAAAGCTTTTTCTGTAAGAAATGATCTACTTGTATTTGTTGTAATCTATATAACCTACAAATATATTCGACTAAATGTTACCTGTTTGAATTTTATTAATTATTTCCTGAGTAAGAAATAATGTGATGACGCTCTGCGTTTCTTCAATGAAGACTGGGAACTCTAATAATGTCTCTTCCATATCTTCATACTGACACTTTTATGTAAAATTAGAATTCAAAACTTTTCACAATGTCAACAACCGCCATATGCAATTACACAATCGCATAGAACGCATAAGCTGCTACAGCTTGAACTTGAGGTAGCTGATGCGTGCGTTATGCGCTGCAGGTGGTGGGGATCTAGGGAATTCTAAGCGCTGTTTATGCGCAAATTGAGTGAAACGGAACGTTTTCTATGTCATTCGTGCGCATAATGCGCGAAACGGAACGCAACCATAATAAGAGGCTGGTCACAAAAAAGCAACTTCTGATTGGTCCGCCATCTTTCGGCTATTCCCATTTATTTTTAAATACATTACTTATGTTAATCTTAAATTGTAATATTATAATTTAAAAACATAAGCGTTTTAAAGATAATAAAATGTGTATATTTATAAAACTTTATTTTACATAATTATATTACCAATTTATTAATATATTTATTAATATATTGTATTTATTAATACATTTCCTTTAATATTAACGATTTTAAATTTATTACTATTTATTTATTTATCTTTTTTTTCGTTATTTATCTTTTTCAACATAAGAGCAAAAATTAATATAATACTATTATACTACTGTTACATTATAATATTTTTAACTTTTTGATACACAATTGTCAAAACGATCCTCTATGAAATCAATGATAGCTATTCACAAAGTTAGTGCAGTGAGAAAATCCATCGCGGAAAAGCGTCAACAATAAATTTCGAGGAAATATCGAAAGATGCAAGTATCGATGTCATGCCTTTTTTAGAAAGGATTATTATACATATTTATTATTGTACATACATGTACAATAATGTATTATACATATTTATTATAAACAAATTTTATTACAATATAAAATAAAATTTAAGTAAAAAAGTGAACACCCATTTTTTATATTGATTTATCACAATTAACTAATTTATGATTATATTTTGCAATTTTAGTATCTATTATTTAATAATATATTATCACGCTTTCTACGTGTTTAATACATATGCACAAATATACATGCATAATACACTTAAATCAATGCACATGTAAAGTAAAAATATCTATTAATTAGAGTGAGATAGTGTATATTTTTTTTCGCATGATTTAGCCAAAACATCGGATCAGAATCTCTGATTGGCGGATCAGAGTCGTGGCCAGTCTCTTATTGTAGTATCTCTATCTTATTATAGTGTCTCTACTTATAATAATCCAAGTTCGACTTAGTTCCATTAGTTAGAACCAAAAAATATAATACACATATCCATCTAATATCTTTATGAATCATAACAACTCAACTCAACGCTGTCTTATATTTTCTGAGTTGAGTTAGCTGTGATTAGCTGATAGAAGATATCGAAGCTATTATAAATAATATTATATATTATTTATATATTGTCTTAATTCTTCGAGTTGAATTAGTTAGTTTATTTACGCAAGCAAATCTGATTTTAAGAAAAAATGTCTAATGCAGATATATTTATGAAAAAAGAAAATAATGTTGATATGTGCCTCTTTAATAAACATAATTATATATAAGTTTTAATTAAATATTAAGATATTACAATAATTTAGATAACATTTTATTAATTTTATGACAATAATGTTAAATAGGATAAATAATTATAATATAAATATTTTAAATTTGCAAAATTACTTTACTTATAATATCTTTAATATCTTCTACCAGTTAATCACAGTTAACTCAACTCAAGGAATATAAGACAGCGTTGAGTTGTCATGACTCATGAAGATACTAGATGGTTATGTGTATCATATTTTTTGGTCCTGTGAAACTAACTCGAACTTGAATTATCATAAGCATCTGTTGATTAGGGTTTCTGTTATCTCTAACAGAAATGCTAAACTAATTTGTGATTTTTTTTTGTAATCTGCGTATCTGGAAAAATACGCTTCATATAAAATTTCGGTTCTCCATGAAGCGTACTTTTTTAGATACACAGATTACAAAAATTAATCACAAATTAGTTTAGTATTTCTGTTAGAAAGTACAACAGAAGCCCTAATCAGCAATTGGTTGTATTAATTACGCATTTCTTGAAATACGCTCTATGTGAAAGAAGGCTTTCAGAATGGCATAACGTTTTAGTAAAATACTAGAATACGCAGATTACGTTTACGCAAGTTATGCCGCATATGACGGCACTCTTAGCGGTTTCCCGCTGCATGGGAACCAGCCTAATTCGCAGCCAGCCACGAGAGGCTGCGTCTCCACGAGCACAATATATATAACGCAACTCCCGATTTCAGCATACGTAAAAATGAACTGCACATGCGCGAGCGAGGTATGTAATCAATCAGGGCACGGATATTCCGTCTCACTTTTCTACATTTTCTTCCTTTGTTAGTATGAGATGCCTATATAAGCATTTAACATTCAACAGAAAGTGGCGAGAACATACATCTCATAGGTGTTATAAAAAATTAAACTTTAAAAATTTAACTTTAATTGTTAAATTTTTTTCTTTACTGCTCTTTCCTTGTTCCCTTCGACATGGATCGAGCTGAGGCACGAATTAATGATTGATGAGAGAAATAAATAAAATATTAATTTATGAATATTAAAAGTTAAAGCATCTTGTTTGTTTAACATTGCATCTGCATTTAAATTTCATTTTTTATTGTATTATTGTATTATTTCATGTTTATTGTATCTTTTAATATGATACTTTTAATTGTATTTATTAATATTTGTCAATATTTATTTCTTTATTTTCTAAATCTATATTGTTTTGTGTAAAAGTCTATGATTTATGAATTTTTTATTTCTATTCATTCATTTATTTGCATATTATAATACTTATATTTTATATATTTTATAGAGTTAATACTGATAAAGATATACTAATGATATTTTCTAAAAAAATTTATTAACAAGTAATATATTATTTATGTATTCACAATACGTTTAACATATTGTTTTATCAATTGTATTTTTTTTTTATTTTTTTAATTTGCATATTTCCATATACTTTATCATATAA